CTTTCCCTCTGTGCATAATAGAAACTTTGCAGAAAAGAAAACAGAAACAGAACATCTCTAGTGTATTCTATTGCTTCAGAGGTCATTCATGCTCTAGTTTAAAGGTTCAGAAACAAGAATGTGCCTGCTCTGTACCAAGAGCTATACTAGGTACGTTCATATGTATCTTTTTCATTTTAACCTAAATCACCAACCTCATTTGATAAACGAAGAAACTGAGCTTCAGAGAAGTTAATCAACTTGCCAGATAGCTCACAACTGATAAACGAAAACTTAGTAACTACTGTCCCAAGTATTTCTAAGCTCATTAATACTTTCTCGTCTATGCGAAGAAAAAATTTCTGAATCACTAATGATTGTTACTACGCAAAGGAAATTTCTAAATAATTAATAGTAGTTAATGGGATGAAGAGGGTGATTAGCTTTTTCACCGTATATGTTTCTGCATTATTAGAATTTTCAGTAAGCATGTATTACTTTCATTTGAAAACTGACAACAAATAATTTTCTCTAAAACTGCTACCAAAGATTGCCCACCATGCTACCCATTTGTGTCTGTATAATTCTCATGTTTAAAGGAGAGCTTTCACAATTTAGCACTGAGAAAGTATCTTCATCTCTTTTTTTAAAATGGCAAGTTTCATTCTATCAGATAATCAGAATTCTGCACTCAGTCTACCATAATAGCCTCTCACTGGCCTCCCTCTTGTCATTCTTAACCTCTTTCAGGGCAGCAGAATGATCCTTTTATATGTAAATCAGATCATGTCAATGCCCTGGACAAAACCAGTCTGGGGACTCCCACCACACTCTGAATAAAACAGAAAGGCTTTCCAGGACCAAGCCGGTCTCACAAGCTCCGCCCCAGGCGGCAGCCTTGACTTGTCGGCCTGCTTTCCCTTCTCTTGGGCGGGCCACTCTCACCATACCGGCCTACTTACTGCTGGTCCTACACTCCCAGGGCCTCTGTGCTTATTGTTCCCTCTGCCTGTTCTTCCCCCTGCTCTTCAGATGGCCTGCGCCATTGCTTCATTCAGAGCTCTACTCCACATTGTGTCCACCCCACCTGAAATAACAACCTATATAGCTTCCTATTCTCTTGAATAGCTTCTGTTTTTCCCCATGGTATTTATTTGCCTTCCAACATTACATATGATTGCTTATTTATTTATTATTTTCTTAGAGGCTTTTTCTATAGGGTGTGTGTGCTCGCCAGAAAGACAGAGAGAGACAGAGAGACAGAAAGCAAAAAATCACCCCCCGGGGGGATGGCCATGCCGCAATCCCTTCTCTCCACTCTCCCCTTGGGATCTTGGGTATGCACACACATGCGCCCGGCGTGAGTTTAAGCCACTGGGTTCAGGACTCAAACTGTGGTCGACTACAGGGGAGTACAGCGACATAGTCATTGTGCCAACTGCTGGTCCCATATTGTTTATTTTTTTATTACCTATGCTCTCTGATTAGAATATTAGCTCTACCAAAGGGAGGATTTTGTCAGATTAGCTCACTGTTGTATCTCTAGCGCCTAGAACAAAGAATAGAATAGAACAGAACGGGTAATAAGTTATTTGCTGAGGCCACAACCGTAGTGACATAGATAGTGCCAACACTTAGAAGGCTGGAGGCCACACGGAAGACCTGGATTTGGTTCCTGGGCTCTCCTGAACACAACAAGCATGGTTGTGCATCCCTGTATCTGAGGCCAATTGGGAGGTTAGGGCAGGAGGAGCACAACCCAGTAAGACCCTCTCAAAAATGCTTTCCTCTCTCCCTTTCTCTCTTATTCCCCCTGTTTCATTCTCCCTCTCACTCTCATAAAATAAAATAACTCTCTTTCAAAAAAATTAACAACTTGTTGGACTGAAAAATAAATAAGTGCATTTTACAAATTGCTTTATTTCAGTTTTTGTTCTTGTTAGTAGGAAGCTTAGTATTAAATTTAATGGTGAGTTATAGTAATATAATATAAGTAATATAACTTTGTCATGAGCATATGCTCCTTTTTAATATTCAGATATTTTATTCTTATTCGATCAACATGATATGTCTTCTTTACCATACTTCTAAATATTTCAGAATGTAACAAAAGTGTGTATCAATAAGCCAGTAGGTTGGGTGCCTGAAAGGTATCCATCCTAAGTGGAAAGTGTATAGGGGTTAAAAAGCAGTAATGCCTAAAGCTGATACATGACAGATTCTGCAAAACACAAGGCAGCCCTCCAGCTAGAAGCCCAAATCTTGGCTGCAGGTTGACACTTGGGAGCCTGGTGAGAGCCAGGTAAGAGTGAGCCAATGGATCTAGAAGATCCAGTGAAGAGGGAAGCAAGTTTACCTTGTCATTCCTGCAGTTGTTCAGCCCCATATTATTCATGGAGGACAGTTTCCCATCAACGCCGTGTGGCTGTTGCTGCTGTTGCTCTCGCTGGATCTGTTCTCGCATCTTCCGTGCCTCCTGAATGGCTTTCATCACTGTATCCTGATCCCCAAACAGGGCAGGGGAGTTGAGACTGGACAGGATATCTGCATACACAGGACATATTATTAGATATTTATGAAGTGACCCTCTTAAAAAGTGCCACTACTATCCACCCCACTCCCCCCACACACACACACACACATAGAATAGAACATTCTCTGAACAAGAAAGGAGCATATCTGCTATTAAGAAAACTGTACCATACTACACAGAGAGAACAGGAAGCTGGGCAACGCAACTGTGCTAGGATTTTAGCTCTTGGAGCATGCCCTTGTACTCCAGTCTACCTGCAGGGTGTACAGGAGATACCTGTTCCGGCTGTATCTACAAGTAGAGTACAGTCTACAGTGATCCACACTACCATCTTACCTCTTGTAGAAGGGGTGGTCAGGGGGAATCAGAGATGTCTGACCAGGCTACTTGTTATATTTGGGGTCTAATGCAGGAAAGCTGTTTCTGGCCTTGCCAAAAATCCATGTGGTTACATGTATACTTGAGCAATATTGGTATCTGTGTGTTCATACTCCCACCGCAGGAGAGGGGAGGCGGGAAGGGATACACCACACTCTGTTCCCCAATTGCTGCCTGGTTAATGAAGCATTCTTCCCATCACGCTGCCTTCGTTATTTACCACGAGAATGACAACCCATTCCCCACCCCCTGCTCCAACACCCACTGCTCTCAGCCCCCTATCCTTGTAGCAGTGAGGCTGTATGTGTGGGAATGGTTTCATATAATAACTACAAAGCTTAAATGAAGTGAGAACAAATATTTATCTTCTACATATTCTAGGCAATACGCAAGGGACACAATTCAAAATTAAAATACTATTCCTGTATATCCTACATATTACTGTAGGTAAAATAAATATTTTGGATAAACATTTCCAATTTCAGACAATAAAGAGGCCAAGTGCTTGGTGGTGACCAGGTTTCTGCTACTGTTGCACATTTTGACATGACCCACTTGCTTGAGGCCTGATTTGATCATTTCGTAGCATGTGTATTTGGGTATGTGCATTTGTATCCGTCACGTAGACACGAGGCACAGAGGGAGACAGCCTACAAGTGAGCTTACCTCACACGTCTTTTGTGTGCAGTTCAGCCACACATACATTTGAGTTTGGAAAAAAATATCCCAAGGCTATCTATATATATATTTTTTTTAATTTGTCACTTGGTAAGATACAGAAAGTCTGCCTCTTTTGTTCTGAGCTTTTCTGATAAAAAGATCATATTCTATCCAATATTGTCTGGATGAGAGTGTTGTCCAAACACAGGTGCAATTACTTCAGCCCACTTCTAGTTCATTTCTTGGACTCCCACAAGAACAGGGTCTGGGACATAGTCATCCCTGTCCATCAGGATGCTCAGTACACAAATGCTTCCTGAACAAAATTCAGAAGTGGATTATAGAAGGGCCATTTTAATATCAAATCTATTATTTACCTCTATGTTTCTATGTTGTTTTTTTTTCTCATCTCACAAATTCCAAAAATCTAGTCAAAGGATACCCTTCATATTCACAGGCTTGAAATGATGTGTTTCTCTCTCCTACAGAGATACCACTGACTTGGGGAGGTAACTCGGGGCCCCTGAAGGAGGCACCCTGACTCAAAATGCCAGCAGACTGCTGCATGGAGACAAATGTCCCACATGTCAATGAGGAAGGGTTACATCTCTCTATCAGAAGGTTCACTTAGACTCGACTAAATTCAGCAAATATTGCAACTGTGAGTTTATAAAAAGAGCACTCAGATACGTGTGAGATTGCCTGGATTCTAGTTCTGAGACTGCTAATCAACAAGGCTTTGAGAGAGCTCCTCTACCTGAGAGAGCCACATTTACTTTATCCATACAATGAGTTCAATAAATATATCCTATCTAACTAGCAACACTATTGTGAAAAAGCAAATGAAAGAAAATAGGCAAGAATATTTTTAAAACTGTAAATGGCTACATTTACACTCTAGTTCATCTATTCAGGCTCCAGGACTCAATAGTGCAAGGAAAGTAATACAACGAAGATGCTAGATCTAGTCCCTAATCTCTTGGAATCTCTGTGTCTTTATTTGGAAATGAAGACATTTAAAGAATATATAACAATCATGTTAATGCTGAGTTGGTACTCTACTGCTGAAAAATGCTTTTACACGTATTGTCTCATCCCACAAATAAAGGTAAATATGGTGGCATCCATGCATTCCAGTCTTTTAAAATTGCATGCCTCCTAGGTGCTAGACACTGTGCTACAGCCTTTAGAAGCATTTTTCTACTTTTAATCCCCAAAACAACCTGTCAGCTGGTGCTAGGTAATATTCTTCTTCCAGAGATTACAAAATTGAAATAAAAAATATTAAACAACTTTCCTGGGGTTACATAGATAGTAAGTGAAGGCTCTCAGTCCAAGCCTGTCTCATTCCCAAACCCATGCTTTCTGCCCTATACTCTTCATACAGGGGGGGTATGAATATCCTTGTAGATACACGGCAATATATGTGGATATGCAAGAAGCCTGAGGATGATTATGACATTTCTTTTTAGAATTTTATTTCACTGAAGTGTGTCATTTGGATTTGTTTTCATGCAAAACTAATCGGAGATGATTTGTAAAATTCACATACAATTTCTGAGGAAAATTTTAAAAATTTGAAAAAAAATTCAGTGGCAAAGCACTGGAAATTTCTAAGTTTATACTTCGCTGGCGCTAACGTGTCATCATCTAAAGAGTCCATCCCACAGGATTTATATTATTATAAGCCTTTCCAAAAGTTCTGATCACTCAAGATATTAAACTGGTTTACACTTGGGTAGACAAGAGGAGAGCCTTCTCTTTTACAAAGGAAGGCTTTGAAAACAAGGATCAGTCATGACTAAGCAGGTTTGCTTTCTTTTACCTAATTCATAAGTCTCTTCCTGGTGTTGACTTTTCCATTTACCTAAAGAGGATCCTCTTCCCAAGCTTCCTCCAATGGGGCTAGGGATGCTGCTTTTGTTTGGCAGATTGACGGGGCTGGTTTTGCTGGCTGGGAAGAGGCTCTGGGTGGGAGAAGTCGGGGACTTGACGGGCTCTGCTGTCTTGGGTCGGGATGAGAGGTTCAGAGGCTGTGCTGCTGCTTCGTCCTACAGGAGTTTAACATAAATAATTATTAAAAAAAAAAAAAGACAAATGAAGCACATTATCACTTAGTCAGCCACAGTTATTTTACACCTCAGAGACAATGCCACATTCTCCTACAATAATAACAAAAGAAGCTAATTATCTACCTCCTTGAAGATTCATCGGAAGGAAACCTCATTAATTTCCCCGTGTTATGCTTCTATTTACATTAACTGTGTAGTTGGATCATTCTTTTTGCCAAATTAAAATCTGAATTAGCTCACATTACAGCTTAATTTCCTAATGTGTTTTCAGGGATCTAAATTAACCTAGGGCATTTACAAAGAATTATTTAAAATTTCAGCAGCTCTGTAATGCTTTCGTGTTATTCTCTCTGAAAAGTTCCTGGAACTATAAATAGTCTCTGCAGCTAATTTTTTAATATATATTTTAAATTAAACAATTGTAAGGACTTTAAAAATGAAAACACAGAGAGCTTTCTTCTGATCTCCTGGGCCCCTGTCCAGAGAGCCGCATGCCACTGCATGGCTTCTCTGTGGCTTTCTGGGTGTGGGCCCATCGTGGTCTATATTCTGGTCTCTATTCATGTTTAAAATTAATTTTTTCAAAGAGCAAGAAGACGTTATAATTATGTTTTACATACCGTACTATATGCAATTTATTTTTCATGTTTCAAGTGATGTCTCTTTATATTCCTTGTTCCATGTATTTACAGAATGTCTATTTTAGGATACGTGTCCTTCTACACTGAGCATGGTATTCAAATATCTGAATTGTGACTCTTCTTTAGTCAGGAGCTTGAAAACGAAGCCTCTTGTCTTTATTTTGTGTCTTTTATCCTGCCATAAGGTACTCATAACAACACTTCCATCATTCTGGAAATGTATCTGTAATATGGGCATATTCATTTAAGTGTTCGGTTTTAAGATCTGCACTATTGTGTTCTAAAATAAAATTGTCAGCAAATGTTAACTGCCATTTTGCTTCTGAGAAAGCACAGAGAGCTTGTTTTTAATGTCATTGCTTAAAACACACAATAGAGTTTGGTTACAGAACATTCTCAGCCTTGCTACAACATGTAACCTCACCGGAGTCGCCTCTGTCACCTGTAAAAAGAGGGTCTGATATCTGATGATACCTGATGATTTCTAAGGTTTCTTCTGGTACTAATAGCAGTGACCCAGGGGAACAAAAAGAGATGCCAGACAGTGCTACTTAGAAAGGAGGATTAGAAACAGAAAATGAAAATAACATGCACGGAAAAGCAATTACATAGCAAGCACTGCATTTTTACAGGTGTTAGCTCATTTGTCCATTGATAGTTCTATGAGTCTGGACAACGTTATTCTAAACTTACAAATGAGGAAATGGAGTTCAGAATGATAAAATCACTTGTCCAGGGCCATACACAGAAGGACAGAATTTGAATTCTATTTTTTCAGATTCCAAATCTGAGGCCCCTTTTCTGCTACACTACCAGAGAAAAATGATTCATTTGTCTGATAACTTAGTGGTACCTTAGAATTTTCCTTTTTGTCTTTGGTAGGAAACAGGCGATCTGTAACATCTAGGTTACAATGCACTATAATCTGTATTTATGTAAAAGCCAGGTTCTTGAGAAACAGGGTTATATCCCTTACAAATGTCAAAATTACTGGGTGAACTTGATTGCAATGTACTTCTCTTTGCTCTTAATTCAAAGGCTATAAAGACTAGTTAGTTTCTTTACTTATATCTAAAACATAGTGACTTATATACTAAGTGTTTAGTTTCCTCCATGTTTATTTGGCATTCACTGATCTAAAATATTTGCCTTTAGAGTTTTCATCAAATTTGGAAGATTTTCAGTGGGTACTTCAATTCAAGTTTCTGTTCCTTCCTCCTCCTCTGGGACTGCAAGTGCACGTGTTAGGCCATTTGATGTTGCCTCACAGTACTGACCAGTCTTTTTTCCATGCGTTTTAGTTTGGATAGTTTTATTGTTATGTCTTCAAGCTCACTAATCTTTTCTTCTGTAAGGTCTAATCTACCACTCAGCCTATTTCCATCCCCAGATATTTGACTTAGGTTTTTCATGTCTCGCCTTACCCTATGTTTTCCTCAATCTTCTTGAACATATGGAGTTTATAACATCCTTTTCAGCTTTCATTATATTTTAATTTGTTACTTATTTTTATAATACAATGATTGCCATTTTCACCCACAGTGTAACTGCACTGGGGCGTCATCTACCCTTCCCACAGTGGGATAGCTACCGTTGGCCCTTACAGCCTGTCCAGACCTGACAGAACTTGTGCTGAGACTGGGGTACAGGGCATACAGGATTAGCCTGAGGCAATAATGTCACAGATTTCTGATATTCTTACATAAAAGAAGAAAAATGTTTTTCTTGAATTATATTTGCTTTTGGTCAATTTTCAGAGTACTGAAATAGCTGTTTTTATAAATTTGTCCAGTTTCACAGAAGCTTTTTAACTACTAGATTTGCCTACTTTCTTACTTGTTTCTAATTAGAAGTCTTCTGTCAATAGTATGCCTGTTTTTACTGTCTCACCCTCTATTTCTAGCATTTGTGTCAGCTTGGGGCCTGTTTCTATTGACTGATTATTTATATTGTCTCACTTCTTTGCAATCCATTATTGAATGGATACTACAAGCTGTGAATTTTACATTGTTGGATACCAAGCTGATGTATTTTTAAAATATTTGTGGGCTTTGTTTTAAGATGCTTAACAATTTGATATTTCCTAGGCTTACTTTTAAGCTATGTTAGGCAAGCTCAGACCAGCCATTAACCTAAAGATAAATTGTCCCCTCCCGGAACTCTACTTGCCCCATGTGTTGTCCCATCTCCATTCCTGGTCCTTTGTAAATCTTGCAATTATTTTCCTGGAATGTCCTGGTGATTTTTCCTGGCTTCAGGTAGTTTCCTTACATACATGTGTTGGTCAGTATTCAGTTTAACACCCAGAGAAAACATCTCTGTACCTTCAGCACTCCACGTCTGAATTCTATCCACATCTGCCATCCTAAACATCAAACTCTGTCTTTCTCCTAGAGAAGCCTACCGAGCTGCCTGCACAGTTCCCGGGAAATATCCGCTCAGCAGTGAGCTGAAATAACTATAGTATTTGCTCACTCACTTCTCTTCTTGCAGGGATTACTGTCTTGTACTCTTACCGTAAATGTCTGAAAACCACTGTTTTACATGGTCTTACTCTAAGTTTCAGCTGTTTAGACTGAGAGTAAATCTGATCCTTGTTCCTCTGTTATACTGAAATGGAAATCTTGTAGGTATTTAGTTAGGATCTCTCTTTGTATACAACTAGATATTTCAACCACAACTACTGAAACCACCACTCCATCTTCTTTATTACCATCATGAGCATCATTAACATCACTAACATTTATGGAATACCAACTATATGCTATGAGAAGTATTATCTCATTTCAAACTCATGATAACATTAACTCTCATCTTACAAAGGAGAAAAATAAATCCCATAGAAATTAAGTAGCTCGCCCAAGGTGGCACAAGTCGTTCAAGTAGCAGAACTGATATTTGAATAGAAAAATTCTTACTTTTGATGTTGACAGTTATACCAGATTAAAAAGTCTGGAGAAAAGAAGATACTTAAGACTATGTTTATTTTTGTTTTTTTTCAGCAAACTTTGTCCTATGTCATGTGTGAACTTAAAGAAGTGTTCATGTTATATACAGAAGGAAAGCATGAACTATAGGGAGAAACATGGGAGATTTTGGTGACCACAATTCTTTCAGATAGCAAACTATGACACTGTTTTCATAATTTCTTCAGTAATAGGCAGGAGCTATTTTTGAAAATTTTAAACATTTGCTTTATGTCTTGGTATGTGTATTTTTATCCACATATACAATAAATGATTTAACAAGTACAAGGAATATTTCCTTGTAATAAACACAAAATATAGTCAAGTGAAATGACATAGAGGGCCCAACTTTGGTGATGTACATAGTAGGGCACCACTGTCCAATACTGGAGACATGTGGGAAGACCATGGTTTGGATTCTGCATGGACCTGAATATGCCAGGCATACCTGTGGGCATAACAGGACAGACAGCTGGAAGGATTATGGCATGGTGAGATCCTGTCAAGGCACCTGTCTCTCTCATTTTTTATGTCTTTTGTGCAAGAAATAAAGACATTTATAAAGAGAACTCCGTAAGAATTTGCATGCAGTCAAGTGAGTAATAAAATTCAGTTGGCCCATAAAGATGGAATGGTAAAAGCAGACATAAACTTTAATTGAACCAAGGAAAGGCTTGGTTGGGTGCAATTCCAGTTGGCCAACTTACTTATGAAATGACATTTTCATTTTAAAATATTTAATACTCAAGTCTATTATTTTTGATATACTCACATTCAACTATGACAGAGCTTGTGCTGAGAACTTGTGCAGGCTAAGTGCCTTGGTTTGAGTTGTAGAGTTCTAACTCTTACTCATACACACAAACTGTTGAAACACAAAATAATCTGCTTCATGGGGCCAGCAGGTAGCATGGTGGTTAAGGGCGCTGGACTCCCACATGGCTGACCACTGTTTGAGTCCTGGACCTGGCAGCTTGCTTTCTCACTTTCCATCTCTCTCTCTCTCTCTCTCTCTCTCTATTTCTTTTTCTCTCTCTGTCCCTCTCTGGTCAAATTAAAATAAGTAAACAAATAAATAAAAATTTAAATAAAATAATTCTTTAAAGAAAAATAGTCTGTTTCCATAAGTAATTCTGCCCTGTGAAATGTAAACTGCCTATAGCCATGTCAAAATATCTAACAGAAAAGCATAAATATTTATCTATTTCTTTGAATACTTTAAAAAATGGGTGGCATTAAATTAATTCTTCTGGGTGGAGCAAGGTAGGCCAACTTTGTTCTTTTTACATGTGGTATTTGCAATCCTTTCTTCTTGTTTTTTGAAAGGCATATTTGAAATCACAAATATTATTTCTGAATCTGCAAATTTTAGAAGTAAAACTATTCCAGTGATCGTATAGCATCTAATGCTGAGTTTTGTTGGTCTCAGCTATTTCTTAGCGGAGATTAAATCATTACAAGATTTCTCCAAATGCAGTACTTTTGTCATAGTGCAGTAAAGAATACGTACTTAGCATACTCCTCAAAGTAGATATACAAAATAATTATATGGAACAATTACACAGAACGATTATTTCCCTGCACTGTCTGAATTTGGTAATCTAATATAGAAAGTAAACACAGTCATAAAAACCAGACAGTACCACCAGTACCACCCATAGGTACCAGCTGCAGTGTAAAGTTTGAGTGGCACAACAATTTCCTTCCGTCACCAAGTACCTCCTAGCTGCCCAGTTTCAAGACACTGAAAACCAGTGAGGAAAGGCATTTGTTATAGTCTCAGCCCTAACTCAGAAAATCTATTTACAACTGTATGGCAACAAGAACATGATCGGGCAATGATACCACTTGTTCCTGAGAGCCCACATTTATCAGACCTTCATCAACAAACCATAGAAAGTTCAGCATTAGATTCATCTTTGTCTCCTTTTTTTTTTAAATCTAAAAAGTTTTCACGTCCTCCTTTCCTGGTACTGTAAGTTAACTCCTCACCTGTTTAAAGAACATGGAGAGAAGTGTCAAAAGTCTATGACAAAGACTGACAGTAAAACCAGGGCCATTTATGCCAATGAACATTTAAAAATAAAAGCCAGAATCCAAAGGGAAAAAACTCTAGAGAAGTGAGTTTGCGGATTTAGGTAAAGATCTCACAATATGGCACTATTGTTATCAAAAGGGAAACACCTGTTTCTTGGTGCTCAATCATGAAATTTACCATAAAGAGGAGCATTTTGGGGTTCCTTTATGTTTGCTGTGCTTCCTGCTGTTTACTCCCCACACAGCCTGGCTCACTACCTTTCTTGTGAAGCTATTTTCCAAACTGTTTCCACAACCCTGCAAAGTAAGTACCTTAACTTGAGTTACAGGGCTGGTCCCTCTCTTTTCATTTTTTATCCCAGTAGGTGAGACTGCCCCTGCTGCGTTTGGTGGCTGCGGAGTTGATGGCATCTTTGCTCCAGGTGACACCTGCATGCTGGCCAGCTGAGCGGCGTAGAGTTGCTGCAAAACAGGGGAAGACAAACGGTGATCTCTTTAAATGCGACTGAAATGGAATCTTTAAAAAAAAAAAAAAAACTTACCGCATTGTTAGGTAACTATTTTTATGACAGCCTTGCAATTTCTTTTTCACTATATTTTTTAAAAGGGAAAAGAAGAAAAAAACAAATAATACAAAAGAAAGAGAAAACTCGGATATGGGAGCCATGGTCCTGTACCTGGTCCTTCTAGCAGTACCTTTATGGTCCTGGACAAAGCACTTGACCTCTCTAGAACTCAGTTTCTTCAACTGGACAGAAAGGAATCTGACTAGTCTCTAAGATTCTTTCTACAGTCTAACATCTTTATAGAGTTCTTCAAATGTCTTATATGTTTACTTATGTAATTTTAATGTTAATGACCTATGAAACGAACCTGCGCATTCTAAGGGATTCTGGAAGAACGACAGTACTCTTATACAGCACTGACGAAGCTTCTCTGGGGATTCTGATCCCTCTGGAAGCTGAGTGCTGCCCCTCGGGCCCTTGCCCAACGGCAGTCACTTTTTTCTCAACATATAACAAAACCTTCAGGAGAATACAGTCATATCTGTAGCAATTTTTTAAAAAGTAAAAGTCAAGCTTCTTTTTCCCAGCACAGGAGCTGCCCACTTGATTCTCCACCCAAACCAGCTAACACGGTGTTTCCTTCACGCCCCAGAACACACCTCCTAGTTTCTCCTCCAAGGTCCTGCCTTCTCCTGCAATGGTTCATCGTCATTTATCCCCATTAGTGGACTATTTCCTTCAGAGAAGGAGAAGGAGAACTCTGGCACATCAGTGATGTTATTCATTCTACCTACTCAGCTTGAAAGGGTTCCTCTTCCCTGAGTCATAAGACAATCTGACATTATGAATCTTGTAAGTACCGACCTCAAAATATGTCGATTTAGTTAAATTAGGATCAAAGATTGAAAGACAGATAGCCCAATGTCTTTTTATATCATTTTGATTTTTTTAAAGAGATTTTTGTTATAGGGCATGTGCACTCTCCAGAGAGAGAGAGGGAGAAAGAGAAAGAAAGCAAGAAATCACCCCCAACAGAGGATAGCCACACCACAATCCCTTCTCCTCCACTCTCCTCTGAGGATCTTGGGTACACACACACATGTCCAGCATGAGTTTGAAGCCACCAGGTCTGGGACAGGAACCATGTTCTGCCATTTGGGAGTACAACGACATAACCACTACACCATCTGCTGGTCGCTCATTTTGATTTTTATTAAAATATTTTCTATACACAGTTGTGCAAGTTCAATAGTGTTTTATTAGGAAACAGATTTTCAAGAAAGGTAGTAAAGCTTTAAAAACAAACAAACAAAATAGCATGAAAATCTCATTTTGTATGCTGTAATGATGTACAGTGAATGAATGCAAATAAACAAATTTAAATTAAAAAAAAGAAAGCAGCATGGTTGGAGCCAGCCATGGTGGTTATGGTGGCTGGACCCCACATGGTTTACTGAACCTGTCAGTCTGGTTTGAGTCCGGATCTGGTGGCTTGAAAACACATCCAGCATGTGCGCATGCCTGCCCAAAATCCCAAGAGAAGAATGGAAGAGAAGGGACTGCGGCATGGCCATCCCCCTCAGGGGTGATTCTCACTTTTTTTCTCTTTCTCTTTCTCTTTCTCCACAACAAACACACATGCCCTATAGCAAACAAATAAACAACAGTACCAGCCTGGGCATGTATAGGGCACGGTCTCACACGATGGCCTTGGTTTTCCTTCCTGTCCTCCAGACCTCACTGCCTGCTCTGTGGAGATCAACCCCTCCAGTTCTTGGAACTGTTCTCACTGGTATTGATTTCCTTACTTGTAAATGCTTCTACTGTTACATCCGTATTCACTGACTTCATATAATAGAAGACTGAAGTTTAGCTTTCTTGCATCACCAACCCCGCATGGGCTTCCATGCATCCCTCCCCAATCCCTGAGTGTCCATATTACAAGTTTTAAAGTTAGTGTTTACTGTTTCATATCACTCTATGATATCGTTCATAGTTGAAGTATGACAGGATCTATATTCTCTCTCAAACTTTTATTTTTGTCTTTTTGTTTTAAATTTTTTAATGTAACCAGCACTAATTAATTTTCCCCCAATTTTCCAAGTAACCTGTAAAATTCTTCCCAATATGGATGGTTAAAATAGGTAATCTGTGTGTCCTGTTTTTTCCCCTGGAGAATTCCTTCTTGGAATTCTCTATCTTCCTTCTTCCATCTGAGCTAGTTTACTCTTTAAGCCCACCGCGGGTCTATAATATCTGGGAATTCTTTTGCCTCATGTGAGCTGCGTTCCGCTTTCTATATGTCATGTTTTCTCTCTCTTAACCAACCTGATTTTGGTAGAAGACACCCTGTAGGAGCTTCCTGAGAAAGGTGTGTGTGAGGTTATTAGAACTAATATGTCTATTAGAATATTAGAACTAATGTAACATTATTATAGTCCTCTCACTTGACTGTAGCTTGATTGGTATAGAATTCAAAGTTGAAAAGAATTCTAAAGATATTGACCTGTCATCTTCTCATTCTTATTGCTAAGGGGGCGTGACATCATTCTGATTCCTGGTCCTTTGGATATAATCTGTTTGTTCCTCTGAAAGCATCAAGATCTTCCCTTTATACCAAATGTTTTGAAATTTCACCATGATGTCCTTCTGTACCTTTACATTCATTGTTCTGGACACTCAGCCCTTTCAATTTGGAAACACATGTCTTTCAATTCCGGGAAACATTTTTGGTGTTTTTCATTGCTAACTGTCTCCCCTATGTTCTCTTTTTAAGCTCATATTAGATGAATGCTGGACTTCCTTATTAATATCAATCCTGTATTTTTCTTATTTTTTTTCATTTGCCACTCTTAGATTTTTAGTTATACTCTGTGATAGTTTTTTTTTTTTAATCTTTATCTTCCAATACTTCTATAAATTTGTTTTATTTTGTAGTTTTGCTATTGGGCATGGGCACTCACCAGAACGAGAGACAGAGAAAGAAATCATACCTGGGGGGTGACCACACCACAATCCCTTCTCTTCCATTGTCCTTTTGGGATTTTGGATCGACACACACACACATCCAATGTGATTTTCAAGTCACTGGATCTGGGACTAGAACTGCGATGTCAGCCATGTGAGATCCAGCTATTTTAACCACCATGCCACTGTCTGGACTTCTATGAATTTTGTAAAAGCTCTGCTGCTGTAATTCTAGACATATTCTTATTCTCTGATCCCTTTCTTTTAAAACATCCTGTTCTTTATTCTCTTTGGTAATATTAATCATAAGTTTGGGAGTTGTTTTGAATGTTTTCTGTTCTCTGTATTTTTATCTTTCTTTTCTTCCAAGCTCTGTGAATTTTTTCATAAGAAAGCCTTTTCTAGGAGGCTGGTTGGTGGTGCAGTTGTACAACATGACACTTTGGGGAGGGGGGGAGCAAATGGATCATATGGGAAGGTTCCCAGTTCAGGTCTAGAGACCTCCCTGATTATGCCTGGCACACATGTGTCCATGATCCGGGCTGGCTAAACATGAGCAGAGGGTGAACTGCAGTGTCAAGACCCTGTTTCAAGTACTATCTCTCTATCTCTTTCTCTGTCTCTCACTTATAAAATAAATAAACTTAGTTTTTTTTTTAAGAGAGAGATTTTTGTTATAGGCTGTGTGTGCTCACTGGAGAGAGAGAGAGACAAAAAGCAAGGAATCACCTCACCCCCCGCAGGGGGGTGGGGCATGGTCATGCCGCAACCCCTCCTCCTCCATTCTCCTCTTAGGATTTTGGGCACATGCATGCATGTACCTAGTGTGAGTTTCAAGCCACTGGGCCCGGGATTTGAACACTGGTTGACTACATGGGAGTCCAGCAACGTAACCATTATGACAGTTGCTGGTCCCAATAAACTTATTGTTAAAAAAGTCTTTTCTGGGGACCAGCAGGTGGCATGGTGGCTAAGGTGCTGAACATTCCTACATGGCCAACCACGGTTCGAGTCCCGGACCTGGTGGCTTGCTTTCTCAGGACCCCTCCCTTTCTCTGTGTCTTTCTCTGCTCAAATTAAGAATAAATGAATAAATAAATAAAATTAAATTTTAAAAAAGTCCTTTGTACAGTATCTGGTTTTCACTGACTATTCATATGTAAGAGTGACGTATTCAAAAGCTAACTGGAAGGTCTAAGTATAGGAATAGACTTAATGATAATGAACTTGAGTGTAAAAAAGTAATGATGGAGAAAGCTAGCCTTTTCACTGGCAAATCCCAAATGTCAATATCTACAGGTCATTTCTCTTACAGCAGACCACTTTCTCAGAGAGGTATCTTCAAACACTTGTGCTGGTTGGGGTACAGATATATATGCCTTCATTAGGTGAGCCATGCAGAAAGTAGCTGGGGGAGCTCACTGTCTGGTCTATCATGCAGCCCCTCATGTTTTCAAAATGCCACTATCACTCATTCCTGGCTATGCCTGATGTCTCCAAGATAAAACTTTTCAAGTTCAATTCCTTGAGAGAATACGCCTCCAGTCTTCTGCCAGGTTACGTCCTTAAAGAATAGGAGATGGGGGAGAGGCAGGAGGGGAAGAGTAGAAAAGGTAGTTACCAGGTTGCATGGGGTTAGTTAGAAAGGGATCATCTTACAGCTATTTTTAATCAGTCATCTGTCTACAATTCCACCTCTTACTCCTTCCTTCAATGGTACATGATGCCTTCAATTTCTAAGACTTCAAAGGTTCAGCTCCCAATTGGGCTTGACTCCTTTTGGCTTTACACTCTTAAAGCTTGGGATCAGCTTCCTCTTTCCTCCTAAGACAATTACAACTCATCTATCCATTTCTCATATTCCTAAGAATTATTTGCCCTCTCCGTGTATTTCTACTTGAAGGTTCATACCTAGAATCCCCAAGTAGTGATTTACTAGGATTTGGGTAGAACTGGCAACAAATGAGTATGTTAATCTACTGTGGTTAA